AATTAAATAATATCTCTGGATCTACTAATGATATCAGGATGATCTAAGTATCAAAATGTAGCTTTTAAAGGCAGGAATCTGAAAATATGATTAGGTCATTTTGACCAAATTTGACTTAATCCTCATTTCGATGTGATGGGTCACATATTTTATCAATGTCCTCTTTCTAAAAACACATTCATATGTAAGTCACAGGTGCTTTGACGTCCCACTGTGAGATCTGACTGTAGAGGGAGATCAAAGTGGTCCCACTACAAAACTAAATTCAAATCTCTCTTTAAAATGGTGGTAAAATGCCTGTTTTTGTATCATGCTTGTTTAATGTGAAATTCTAAGTGTTTCTTATCATTTTGTCTTGTTTTCAGGGAAACCTGAGCTGAGAGGATATAATCTGTCTCCACTGTCTGCTGATGAGCTGAAAGCTGTTAGCAGCCTTCTGAAGAGATGAGCTCAGCTCTGAGTAACAAACTGAACACAACAAGACATCTGCTCCTGAACGATTTCAATCAGCTTCTTAGTACAGCTGAATGTCATGGATTGTGTATAAAACATTAGACCCCCTTCATACTGGATGATGAGCCCACTGTGATATTAAACATCAGTCAGAACATGGGTGGTCTCTGCAGTGTGTTGGGGAGGTCTCTGGTGCACACGATTAGTGTCATTAGAAGGAGCTGAGTGTTCAGCTGCTCCTCCACAGCTGAGGTCTTTCCCCTGCAGGGAGAGCCCACGGCAGAGCCAAACCTCTCCCCTCTGGCCTGCTAGTGCCCGAGCAGAGAACAGCTGGCACCAAACGTTTTCCACACATCAATGTGACCAATCCACTCAGGCCAACAGTCTGCTGTCACGCTCAGACAGTGGAGGTTTGGTCTCAGTGTGCACGGCTCTTGGTGGGTGTGGTTACCTGCATCCTTTCATTCAGCAACTGTTTCCTCCACAGCAACACATGTTCTAATACATGTGTCAAACTCACTGAAGTGGCCAACAAGAGCTTAAAAGCACATTTGTTTTTATATGTTAAAATAGGCGTATGCTGTTTTAAAGCCAGCACTGACCGAGAAACTACAGCTCCCCTATGTCTGTCAGTTATTTTCTCCATGACATGATCGTGKCACACCACTAACAGGTGTACACTTCAAAGGTAAACAGCTGAATTTGCCATGTAAAATGTGACCCATCGTATTGAAATGAAGATTAAGTCAAATTTGGTCAAAATGACCTCATCACATTTTCTGATTCTTGGCTTTAAAAGCTACATTTTGATACCTGGATCATTCTGACATTATAAACAGAACCAGATACTTAATTTTTCTCATAGGTCATGATAATACATTAATATTTGTTCTGAATAATAATTTTATGTAATTTTTATGAGGAATTTTTCATTTCATTATGAAGAGGAAATCTCAAATAGTATTTGAACATTGACATTTCCCTGCTGGAAAGAAACAAAAGCTTTGCTAGCT